TAATTCTGAGGCAGAGCCAAGTTTGTGACCACTAATAAAGAACCCACAGTAAATATTACCTCCTTGGGAGCACCTTTTTCAGAGATTATTTTTTCTTCTAAGTAGCCTCTCTTGTATCTTCTGAACTTGATCAAGTTACCTTCCTGTCAAGAAATGGTCTTGACCTCAGATTAATGGGAATGTCTCCCTTGGGATTCCTAGGTGACATTGTGTTATTAGGTATGACCTCCCTCGTTCTATTCCTTGAAAGCAGTACAGGTACTGGGCAGGGGTGCCCTGGAGCCACGCTGCCTGGTTTTGAATCCCAGCACCTCCACGTGTCATGTATCAGACCTTGAGCAAGGTACTTAAGCTCTCCGTGCTTCAGTTTCCTGAGTGGCCTAACCCTGAGAGGGGGTTACAGAACCTGCCCATTAGGGTTGATTGGAAGAATTAAAGGCGCTCACACCTGCCAAGTGCTGCGGATAGTGCCTACCTATCACATGGCAATGCTCCATAAGCATAAGCGGCTATGATTATTGTGATTCCTATTTTGTTTCATCAGATATATCCTGCCTAGCCACTAGCAGAATGTGCTAAATAGCTGTCTGGTGAATGAAAGAATGACCAAATGGTCCTGTTTCCTCATCTAGATCATCTCTAAATACCGCCTCATGGTATGGCTTCAGACCTAAAGCTTCCCACAAATCTTTACAGATGCAGTATCTTTTGTTAAATCCCTTCACCCCAATTTTTCATCAACCCTCTGACAACAAATGCTGGGAAATAGAGGGAAGCAAAGGAGTCATGTATGGCTGATGGGATTTTAGACAACACAGAGGACCTGGTTAGGCTTAAAGAATGTCTTCCAAATGCCCTGGCAGGAAACCTTGTGTACTGACAGTTCCAATGTGTGTAAGAAAAGAATGCATCCAATGGTTTAAAAAAAAAAAAAAAAAGGCATTCTGGCCAGGCGCGGTGGCTCACACCTGTAATCACAGTACTTTGGGAGGCCGAGGCAGGAGGATCAGCAGGTCAAGCAATGAAGACCATCCTGGCCAACATGGTGAAACTGCGTCTCTACTGAAAATACAAAAATTAGCTGGGCATGGTGGTGCACACCTGTAGTCCCAGCTACTTGGGAGTCTGAGGCAGAAGAATTGCTTGAACCCCGGAGGTGGAGGTTGCAGTGAGCCGAGATCGCAACATTGCACTCCAGCCTGGCGACAGAGCGAGACTTGGTCTCAATCAATCAATAAAGGCATTCTGTCCTCAATTTTTTTTTTTTGAGATGGAGTCTCGGTCTGCCGCCTAGGCTGGAGTGCAGTGGCGTGATCTCAGCTCACTGCAACCTCCACCTCCTGGGTTCAAGCGATTCTCCTGCCTCAGCCTCCCAAGTAGCTGGGACTACAGGCACCCACTACCAAGCCCAACTAGTATTTTTGTATTTTTAGTAAAGATGGGGTTTCACCGTGTTGGCCAGGATGGTCTTGATCTTCTGATCTCGTGATCTGCCCACCTCAGTATCCCAAGGTGCTGGGATTACAGGTATGAGCCACCGTGCCTGGCCTCTCAATTTTTTTTTTTTTAAGCAGATGGGAGGCAACATAGTAGGTTCATAATTAAAACTGTTTTGGAAGTATTTATTGTTTATTTATTATTATTATTTTTTAAGACAGGGTTTCACCACATTGGTCAGGCTGGTCTTGAACTCCCGACCTCAGGTGATCCACCCGCCTTGGCCTCCAAAGTGCTTGGATTACAGGTGTGAGCCACCACGCCTGGCCGGAAGTGTTTATTGTTTAATAATTCTTTCTCCCCTCAGCCCCATCCAGCCACTCTCTCTTTCTGTTCTGATCATCCTAAAGGCTGAATCCATTCTCCTTCTGTATGGAGGATGAGAAGCAACACTAAAACCAATAGATATGATCGGGTCTTCATCAGATATCATGTCGCTGTGGGTAGAGTGCCAGTTTCAACAAGTGTTGCTTTCCTTGGGCTCCAAAAAGTAGTCCTTGCTCAAGGTCACTGGGACACTCATGGAGTTGAAATGCCGCTGCCCATCTAAGTACAACATGGACTCTGAAACACAAGAAAGAGAACCCTGGGGAAATGTGTAACACCTTAGAAAGCATCATATCGTCATAGAGACATGAGACTACTTGGGAACACTGAGAAAGAATGAGATGCACTGTTGGGCCGAGGGTGCCACATTCCCATGGGAGCAGGCATGACTCCTGGCCCCTTCCTCCGGCTGGATCAGCTTTTGACTACCAGTGGCTGCTTGCCGCCTGAGGGCCACAGGTATCTTTGGCCTTCAGGGCGGCCAAATCTGAAAAGCAAAAACTCCCAAAGACATGCGCGTGGACTGGCAGGCATCGATACACTTCCTACAATTCAAAAGGAGAAAAATGTCCTCAGAAGTTCTTGCCTTCATTAGGGACAAGCAATAATCACTGCTTACCTCCATATGTTTTGGGGAAAACCAATGGCACTTCTTTTTCTGATATGAACGTGAAATGGAAGACATTGGTGGTTGTATGAGTTTTGTCCCGCAGAGAGGCCACTTCACTGTGTACTCTGACTTGAATGTAATTACTCTGCGTAAAGCATACCTAACAGATTACAGACACTAGTCAGTCAACTGCATGAGGAAGGGGAAAAGGCAGTCATAAGAGAAAACAGTAGCTTTTGGACATGAAAACTTCCAGGCTCAAATGAAAAAAAAAAAGTTGTATTTCATCTCTCATCACACACCTACCTGCGAGGAAAGAAAGAGCAAGGAGCCAACCTCAACGGGTTTCTGAAACATGATGTCATCTACTGCTACCACAAATGGTCGAGAACCACTGTTGGGGGACAAGACAGAATTGGGGGTAAACTGCAAAATTCTGATGACCTCAATTTTTTCCCCTAACAGCTAACTGAAGCGAAATAAAAAGGAATGAAGAATAAAGTTAGGGAAGAGGGAAGTGACCCTACCACTGAGGAACGGTTAAGAGATGCCATTGTGACCAGATTAGGGCCAAAATAACTATATCTATTCCCTTCCACATATCATCACTATATTTTCCGAGTGGGTTTTTTCATGTATGAACTTACAAAGTCAGAGCAACAACCTTTTTTTTTTAGATGGAGCTTCGCTCTTGTTTCCCAGGCTAGAGTGCAATGGCTTGATCTCAGCTCACCGAAACCTCTGCATCCCAGGTTCAAACGATTCTCCTGCCTCAGCCTCCTTAGTAGCTGGGATTACAGGCATGTGCCACCACGCCTGGATAATTTTGTATTTTTAGTAGAGACAGAGTTTATCCATGTTGGTCAGGCTGTTCTCAAACTCCTGACCTAAGGTGATCTGCCTGCCTCCGCCTCCCAAAGTGCAGGGATTACAGGTGTGAGCCACCACACCTGGCTGAGAGCAACAACCTTCTAAAATGAAGATCAAACTCAGCTGGTATGAGTGTGGTATTCAATTTAAAAACATAACATAGGCCAGGCATGGTGGCTCACGCCTGTAATCCCAGCACTTTGAGAAGCCGAGGCGGATGGATTACCTGAGGTCAAGAGTTCAAAACTAGGCTGACCAACATGGGGAAATCCCCATCTCTACTAAAAATACAAAATTCACTGGACATGGTGGCGGGCACCTGTATTCCCAGCTACTCAGGAGGCTGAGGCAGGAGAATCATTTGAACCCAGGAGGCAGAGGTTGTGGTAAGCCTTGATCACACCACTGCACTCCAGACTGGGCAACAAGAGTGAAACTCTGTCTTAAAAAAAAAAAAAACCATAACATATTCCCACACACACCAAGACTGGTCCAAAATGTTTAAATTCAGTGGGGTGATATAAATTGCTTCTCAGAAGTTAAGGCTGCCTTACATGTAACTCACCCAAAGCTACAAGCAGTGGCCCATGCAAGTTCGTATGCTTTCCTCATAAGGAAACCACCAAAGATCCGATTGAAAATGTTCCGCTCCTACAGGACGTAAAATAAGTATCAATGAATACAAACTTATGGCCACCTTTGTATACAGAACAGAGGAATTAACAATGTCACAGGACAAAGGCCAGTTTAAAGGTGTGTCAAATATTGGACAAATATCATGAATGGAAGCTATCCTATTCAGATATCTCACTAAATTATAATACCTGAGGGTGGCAAATTTCCAAGCTCTTCAGTTTTGAATTCTCCATCCACACTGCGTTAGGGGGCAAAACTCGACTTCGAAAACTTATAGTCCTGTAAAAATGAATATTTATTAAACCCTGTTAACGCCATGGTTCTGCTGTTGAAAACTAAAAACATTTGCAAGCCACTCCCAATATACTCAGGCAACTGTGGCTCTGGAGAAGGCTGAGGTTTAGGCCTGGCGCAGTGGCTCATGCCTGTGATCCCAGCACTTTGGGAGGCTGAAGCCGGCGGATCACCTGAGGTGAGGAATTCGAGACCAACCTGGCCAACATGGTGAAACCCCATCTCTACTAACAATATTTTTAAAAAATAGCCAGGCGTGGTGGCAGGAGCCTGTAATCCCAGCTACTCAGGGGTGGGGGTACTGACACAGGAGAATTGCTTGAACCCAGGAGGCACAACTTGCGGTGAACCGAGATTGTGTCACTGCACTCCAGCCTGGGCGACAGAGTGAGATGCTGTCTCAAAAAAAGAAAAAGAAAAAGGTGGGGTGTGGTGGTTCATGCCTGTAATCCCAGCACTTTGGGAGGCCGAGGCGGACAGATCACCTGAGGTCAGGAGTTTGAGATCAGATTGACCAACATGGTGAAACCCCATCTCTACTAAAAATACAAAATTAGCCAGGTGTGGTGGCCCGTGCCTGCAACCCCAGCTACTCCAGAGGCTGAGGCAGGAGAATCGCTTGAAACCCAGAGGCTGCGGTGAGCCGAGATCATGCCACTGTGCTCCAGCCTGGGAAACAAGAGTGCAACTCCATCTCAAAAAAACAATAAAAAAAGGCTAAGGTTTAAATGTTTTCCCAACATGGAATCTTATCGTCCTTACTTTGGATCCAGTGTGCTGAGAAACATCTCGTGGATGGTGGTCCTCTCCTCAGCGCTGGGGGCCATTTTTAGCAACGATGTGGAGCTAAAGGCAATTCTTCTCCCCTTGTTCACTGGAACATGGGAGAATAAGGAGCAATGATCAGGAGGGTCACACTGTAACACAGGGAGCTCTGACCGGGAAAGCCTTTCAATCTCATGGAAGATTATACGCATATCCAAGAGAAAACTGCAGAGGCGACATAAAACTCCCAGTGAGCCTTTGGTTCCACATGGAAACTATATTGGCTCAGTGTGAGATCGCTTGAAGTCATCCTGATCCAGAGCCCTGACCTACAGTTATCCCATCAAGAGGTATTTCTCACTTCATTACAACGGAGAAAGCAGGCCTGGTGCAGTGGCTCATGCCTGTAATGCCAACACATTGGGAGGCTGAGGCAGGAGGATCGCTTGAGTCCAGAGCTCAAAACCAGCCTGGGCAACACAGAGAGACCCCTGTCTCTACAAAAAAAAAATTTTAATTAGCCAGGCATGGTGGCACGCGGTCAAGAAATCGAGACCATCCTGGGCATGGCGGTACACACCCATAGTCCCAGCTACTTGGGAGGCTGAGGCAGGAAAATTGCTTGAACATGGTAGGCGGAGGTTGCAGGGAGCCAAGATTGTACCACTGTACTCCAGCCTAGCAACAGAGCAAGACTCTATCTCAAAAAAACAAGAAAAAAGACATTTGACTGGTATGAAGAGCCCATATAAAATCTTAAGTAATCTTTTCTGCAGTATAATTAATGTGCTTCTAAAACTTATTTCGTTATAAACAAATTAATGTACATTCTCCTTGTCTAAACAGCTCCTCTTCCTCTGGGTTTTCAGGGATGAGTGGATTTACAAATGCCGGCCTAAAAAGAAGAAAAGAAAAGAATTTAAAATATGCTGTTATATAATAAAACTCGAAGATGAACAATCACCCACTAGTTATAAAGAATCTGCTTTTCATTTTGGGTAGTGCTTACCCCTGCCTTACACATGAACACTAACAGTTAGGGAAGCCTTATGGTTACAGATAACTGCACACTAGAAAGTTCACATTATAAAGAGGATTCTGGCATTTGCCAAAATGTTTGACCTGATTCTAACCATGAAGAAACAATGAAATATAGGTTGTAGAACATTCTACAGGAAAACTGGCTTGGATTTTTGGTCAATTTTTGAAAGACAGCAAATGGCAGAAAGACTGTTCTAAAGAAGCAGAATAACCAAATGCAATATACAATCCTTGAGGGATTGGGTCCAGAATCAGGGAGATAGCTATAAAAGACATTTTAGGGACAATTGCTGAAATTTGAATATGGATCACATATGAAATCATTGTATCACTCTTAAATTTCTCGGATATAATAAAGGCATTGAGGTTATGTAGAAATACCTGGTTCTTAGGAAATACATGCTGAACTACTGATGGGTGAAGCAGTCTCAAACTTACTTTCCAATGATTCATGGGAAAAAAATATGTAAATGTGTGTATTTACAGAGAGAGGGCAAGAAAATAACACAAATATAATACAATTTAGGTGAAAGGCATGTTTGTTGCATTATTCTTTCTACTTTTCTGTAAGCATCAAATTTCTTGAAATAATAAGGGAAAAAGGATAATACTTCACTGTGGTAAAATCCAAACATTTGATGAAATAATGGAAACAAAATAATTGAAACAGGCCGGGCGTGGTGGCTCATGCCTATAATCCCAGCACTTTGGGAGGCCAAGGCAGGAAGATAACCTAAGGTCAGGAGTTTGAGACCAGCCTGGCCAACGTGGTGAAATCCTGTCTCTACTAAAAATACAAAAATTAGCCAGGCGTGTTGGCAGCCACCTGTAATCCCAGCTACCCAGGAGGCTAAGGCAGGAAAATCACTTGAACCCAGGAGGTGGAGGTTGCAGTGAGCCAAGATCGCATCACTGAACTCCAGCCAGGGCAACAAGAGCAAAACTCTGTCTCAAAAACAAAAGAATCGAAACAACAGCTTGGAAATGTGACACGCATCAGCTGGAAGTGAAACTTGTAGCAGTGGCCTCAGTGCTTGAATAGAAGCCCCAGGCCAGTCACTGGGCACAGCAGGTCAGCTGGGGCTGGCAGGAAGGGCCAGACTAGATGGGTGTTATTCTTCCCTCAGACTACTAAGTGATCAACATATGTTTCTATCTTAACTTGGCTTTCCAAGTCAGCTTTCCATGCAGCAGAAACGATTTTTCACTGCAGACTCCTAAATCAAGTTTCTAATACAAATGAGATTTTCGACAGGCCCTGACTCTGTCCTGTGCAAAGAGCAATCCCTCCCATCCCAGCTCTACCCCTACAATTACTTTTTCTCAATTTGGATATCTTGGGTATAACTGTTGTTAGAAACCAAGAATTCAATTTCAGAGAAAAAAGATTATGTAAACTAAGTTGAACTCTATACAGTTAAATCTGACTTGAAATGACCATATAAACTAATGAGGCTTTTTTTGAGGCAGGGTCTTGCTCTGCTGCTCAGGCTGGAGTGCAGTGGTGCAACCTCATCTCACAGCAACCTCCGCTTGCTGGGTTAAAGCGATCTTCCCACCTCAGCTTCCCACACTGTCTGGGACTACAGACGCATGCCCACCACACCTGGCTAATTTTTTGTACTTTTAGTAGAGATTTCGCCATGTTGCCCAGGCTGGTCTTGAACTCCCTGGCTCCAGCAATCTGCCCACCTCAACCTCCCAAACTGCTTGGAGTACAGGGGTAAGCCAGTACACCCAGCCCTCATGAGGCTTTTTGTTTATTTAAAATATATCCTGGCTATGTCCACTGAAAAGGCCTAGAAACAATAACAAACTAGTAACAATGTTCAGTTCTAGTGCCCATATTTTGATGTCTAAATACCGTTCCCCCTAAAAGGAATCCCAGAACTACTTAGGGAAACGGGTGACTCCAGGCCTGGGGCAGGAAATATGTAACATAAGCCCAAGACATCTTGTGCCAGAGAGCAGGAAGGTAGCAAAGAGATGGGGGAGACGATGCAGGAGCCAGCTGAGAGGAGCCCCCACTGACCAAAGATGGCACACTCACAGCATCAAGAGAAACAATGGCTGCAATTTATTGAAATGCATGTAATATATTAAAACCATGAATTCATAATGATACTTTCCTGGCAGGACACAGTGGCACATGCCTGTAATACCAGCACTTTGGGAGGCCGAGGTGAGAGGATCACTGGAGCCCAGGATTTTGAGACCAGTCTGACCAGCATGGCAAAAACCCCATCTCTACAAAAAATTTAAAAATTAGCTGGGCAGCTACTCAGAAAGCTGAGGCAGGAGAATTGCTTGAACTGGGAGGCAGCGGTTGCAGTGAGCTGAGATCGCACCACTGCACTCCAGCCTGGGCAACAAGAGTGAAATTCCATCTCAAAAAAAAAAAAAAAAAAATTAGCTGGGCATGGTGGTATGCATCTGTGGTCCCAGCTACTCAGGAGGCTGAGGCAGGAGGACTGCTTAAGCCTAAGAGGTCCAGGGTGCAGTGAGCCATGTTCATGCCACTGCACTCCAGCCTGGACAGCACAGCAAAACCTCATCTCAAAAAAAAAAAAAAAAAAAACTAGGGCCGGGCACGGTGACTCATGCCTGTTATCTCAGCACTTTGGAAGGCCTAGGTGGGCAAATCTCTTGAGGTCAGGAGTTCGAGACCAGCCTGACCAACATGGTGAAACCCTGTCTCTACTAAAAATACAAAACAAATTAGCTGAGCACAGTGGCGCATGCCTGTAGCCCCAGCTACTTGGGAGGCTGAGGCAGGAGAATCTCTTGAACCCAGGAAACAGGCTGCAGTGAGCCAAGATTGCACCACTGCACTCCAGCCTGGGCAACTGAGCGAGACAGTGTCTCAAACACACACACAGACAGAAAAACAAAAAATAAAATAAAATTTAAAAACATGATACTTTTCTAAAAAGCAAAAAAACTGGGAAAAGTATGCATCACTAGCTAGTGAACCAACTCCTTATTCTGAAAACAAGTAAATAAAAGACAGGAATGAAGCATGGATCCTAACTCTCCATTTCAAACCCAATTGCCCTAGTTGTTAGGAGAAAGCTCTTCTTTACAGAACCCCAGCTAACAAATGTGGAAGGAATGACAAAATTTGAGAATTATGTGAAACCACCTAATGATAATGATCACAGCAATGATCAGCAGTGGACCTTGAAAGCACTGGAAAAAGACCGCTGGGAAACAGCTATTTGCAGGATGACAAAGTACATCCCTGCAGACTGTTGCTGATAAGAAGAGGAAAAACTGAACTTCACAAAGGAGAGATTAGGGTGTGACTGCTTGAACCCACACACCAATCTTAGCATCACTGTGAGTGGGACAACTTTTACCTCCTGATATGACGCAGCGTGAGATACAACACAAGATATATGACATCACCTATGTAGTACTCTCACCATATATGCTCAACCCAAATCTAACACAAGGATTTAGATCTACCTTCAGGTGACAGAAATTACTAGGGATAGAGAAACAAGACCAACCAACAAACCGACCAACCACCCTGAGAACGTAATAGGGCAAATCCAGAAAGCGGGACACTGTTTAGAGCTACTATCCAGCCTCTCAACGAGGGAGGAAGAAACAATAAGGGGACTGTGAAGACGCAACTATTCTGGATTAAAACAGATTTAAGAGATTGCACAACTTGGCCCGGTGCGGTGGCTCACACCTGTAATCCCAGCACTTTGGGAGGCTGAGGTGGGCAGATCACTTGAGTTCAGGAGTGTGACACCAGCCTGGGCAACATGGTGAAACCCCATCTTTACTAAAAATACAAAAATTAGCTCAGTGTGGTGGCACACGCCTATAATTCCAGCTACTCAGGAGGCTGAGGCAGGAGAATCGCTTGAACCCAGGAGGTAGAGGTTGCAATGAGCAGAGATGCACCTGGGCAACAAAAGCGAAACTTCATCTAAAAATATATATATATATATTCTCTTAAGTAACTACATAACTATTACCTGACCTAACAAAAATCAGTCCTTAATATATTCTAATATTAAGTTCATATCCAGTTTTCTCCAAATATATTTTGAATGATTTGTTCAAATCAGGATCCAAATATGATCCACACATTACATTTGACTTTTATGTTTGTAAGTGTGTTTTGTTTTTTGGTAACAACTTTATTGAGGTATAATTCGAATACCACACAATTCATCCATTGAAAGTGTACAATTTATTAGCTTTTAGTGTATTCACAGAGTTGTGTAATATCTTTTATTTATTTACTTTTTTTGAGACAGAGTCTTGCTCTGTCACCCAGGATGGAGTGCAGTGGCATGATCTCAGCACACTGCAACCTCTGCCTCCCGGATTCAAGTGATTCTCGTGCCTCAGCCTCCCCAGTAGCTGGGACTATAGACACGTGCCACCACGCCTAGCTAACTTTTGCATTTTTAGTAGAGACAGGGTTTCACCATGTTGGCCAGGCTGGTCTTGAACTCCTGACCTCAAGTGATCCACCCGCCTCGGCCCCCCAAAGTGCTGGGATGCTGGGATTACAGGCATGAGCCACCACACACAGCCTGAGAATGTTCTCATTTTCTAAAAGATGCCTACACTAAAGTATTTAAGAGTGAAATGTCGTTATGTCTGGGATTTGCCTTAAAATATTATAAATTTTCTTTAAACAAAAAACAGATGGAACAAAAATGGTCAAAATGTTTCAATTAAAACTGTTAAATCCAAGTGATAGGTATACAGACATTCGTTATAGTCTTCTCCCCAGTCTTATGTATCTTTGAAATCCTTTGAAATAAACAATTATGAAAAAATACCAATTACCCTTTATTTTCAGAATCACGAGCCACCATTACAAACGTTGCATCCAAAACAGGACAAAATTCATCACCATATAACTAAAGAACAAAGGAAAGAAAATGTACATATGAGAAACAGATTTATTGGGAAGACCTACAACAATTCTAACAGACAGTATGTATGCTTTGAGAAAGAATGAAATTGGCCAGACGCAATGGCTCCCACGTGTAATTCCAGCACTTTAGGAGATCAAGGTGGGAGTATCACTTAAGGCCAGGAATTTGAGACCAGCCTGGACAATATGCCAAAACCCAGTCTCTACCAAATAATACAAAAATTAGCAGGGTGTGGAGATGCATGCCTCTAATCCCAGCTGCTCAGGAGACTGAGGCATGAGAATTGCTTGAACCTAGGAGGCCAAGGTTGCAGTGAGCTGAGATCGAAGGTCTCTGTCTCTTAAAAAAAAGAGAGAGAGAGAGAGAGAGAGAAAGCCTGAAATTGGAAAAAGAGAAGCATGCTCATTAACCACCATATGTGGCCAGGCACGGTGGCTCACACCTGTAATCCCAACACTTTGAGAGGCCAAGGCGGGCAGACCACGAGGTCAGGAAACCAGCCTGGCCAACATGGTGAAACCCCGTCTCTACTAAAAATACAAAAATTAGCCAGGCCTGGTGGTGGGCGCCTGTATTCCCAGCTACTCGGGAGGCTAAGACAGGAGAATTGCTTGAACCCAGGAGGCGGAAGTTGCAGT